TTAGACACCATACCACTTTAGGGACCCTTGCCTCGAAGGAGCCACCAACTACCCTCACGCCATCAACAATTCCACATCCACCTTTCCTGTCATGTGGCAGATGTTAGTCACATCCACTTTGGAAACAATAAGTCTTCCACAGCGGACACCACACTGCTCAACCCCACCCAATTCCTCCTGTCACCAACCACCGATTTCGCCTCACCTTTAATCCCCTCCCAACCCACCGATACCGCGAATTCATCTCTTCTGGTCCTGGGGATTTCAGCCAAGCCACATTCGACAGCCACCTCGATCACTGCTTTAACATCGACGTGTCAGTGCAACGCCTCGTCGAAATGAAGCAGTTACGGGTGGAACTCTTCGTAGTGACATCGGTGAGAATGAGTGAGTTAAGTGCGCTGTTTGAGGGCTGGCAATTGTCGGCAACGACATCCAATCCTGTGTCGCTCATTTCAACCAATCTTCCCCTACTCCACCGAAAAGGACAATAACACTTCATCAATTTGATCTTTGTTTAGGCACGTTTATAAACAAAGCAAACTAATTAGTAAAAGACTAATTTGGTTGATTTCCGCTCCCCAGCGCTTTAATGCTTTTTTTCTTGTCTTCTACTCATCATGATGGCATATGCAACCAGAGTGGCACTTGGCGGCGCCAGTTTCCACTTTAATTGACGACGGCTTCTGCCCTGGCAACCACATATTATCTAAGTTCGCACTGAAAATATTTATCATTGCTCTTACAGCCAACTCATTTTGCATACAAATACTTCGAGGAAAACGAAACATACGAGGGCCAACGCGTGTAGCGATAGCCACAATAGCGTACTCACAAATGTGTGGACGCATGTTGATTGTGTTGAGGAGCCAAGTTTCCTGACGCTTCGCTTTTAACTCGGCGCACATAGTGATGATGTAGCGCTGAACTATAAAGATTAAATTGCGTATAATCACACGAATTATGTTTCGGGTCTTGTTCTCCATTACCATGTAGAGATCGTGAAAAATATGCAGATTGAAAAGGTTTGTTAGACGTATCCTATCATGCCTGGAGATGTTGTTACAGCTGTAGGTCTTTTGAATGAACTCAGTGATGTCGGTGGAATAGCCATCTAGGTTGATAACTCCGCTTTGTTGCTTGGATTCTGTGTCTGCACAGAATGCCATTGCTTTTTCAAACAGAACTTGGATGATATGCATGCAGTAGGGGTGAACGGGTTCAAGGAGAGAGAGCTTTCGTAGGAGATTGCAGGTTTTCTCAGAAAGCGGGTAGAGTGGCGTTTTTAGGCGTTCGAGTATAAGCAAAATTGACTCAAAAAGTAGGCGAGCATTTTTGGTTAACAAATTCGGACGACATTCAGCATAAGTGGTAACTTCATCAAGCAACCAATTTGCTAAATCTTCTGCTTCTTCTTCCAAGTTTGGTGGGTTAAAATTTCCTGAAGGGCTATAATCATCAATAAAACTATGACCTTTTTTCAATTCAGCTTCATGTAGATCACGGAGACAGAGGAGAGTAGCGCCTAAACAAACAGGAATTTCGATCGGGTAACCGCTGGAGCATCTAGTCCAAGGAGCCACCAGGGAGGGTTCAAATGCCATGGTTGGGAGTTCATTAAGTTCATCCTCAGTAATGAGAGATCTTTGTGTGGACAGCGGAGATGTCTTATAAATGCCATGCATGTGGGAATCGCCGTCCACGTGCCACTCAGAAACAATCAATTGGCGTCATGATGCCTTACACAGCATTCACCTTCCGTTGCTTAGTTTGAGACATGTGTGCACAGGAAAAATCAGGCAAGCATAATCATTTTTCGTGACATGGCGTTGAGGAAACTATAAAGTTTCATTTATATCTTAGAGCATCATTAAATCGAAATATCTGTATTTTTCCATACTGACCAACAAATTGTTTCCAATGGCGGACATTACAGATGCGCAAATTATGGCAAGAGTATGAACATTCGCAATGCACCACGGTAGAAGACGAATAACCTCTATGACTGATGGCAGCTTTGGTGTTCATTTGGGTGCGTGAAAGAGACTTGCTTTTCCAGTCGAGGTCCAATGTCTATTCTTAATGAATATATGTATTCAGCCCATCGCAATGCCTCCTAATACATACAAATGTTGATTGCAGAATATAAGAGGTGCAATTTTAATGCCTTGCTTACGTGGCCACCTGGTGTTTGGCGGCCGCTTTTAAGATTTGTCTGGCCTATGTACCTGTCGGCTGTCCTTCGGGCAGTGCCCAGTGCTTTCTTTCACCTGAGTGGAAGTCTTGCAGCGTTAAAGTAATACCTGAGAAGACCTTTAAACATGCCTCGTATGTCAAAACGGTGATAGTCGTTCCTATACAACTCTTTTATTCTGCAGGAGGCCAAGTATACTCTACAACTCAAAGCAGTAGGAAAGGATAGAGATTAGGTATGAATAGGAGAATATTCGAGGAAATATTATGAGTTTTGCGCAACAATTAGTGTAATTCTATGCTTTAGTTGCACAATAAATATGTAAAGTCTACTGCATTATCGGACAATGGTTCTGTTTCAGCAAAGAAAAAGAATTAGTAGTACCAAAGCGAATAGATGGTGCGGCTAAAAATACTGATAAGGTACGTATTAAGATCATAAAGAGGATTATTATTTTAAGCAAGTAATGGCTCCTAATGCCAACTTGCTCTATAGTCATAACGATCCAGGCCGAAAGAACCAATTTGCACTGGCAAGAAGCCGTTGCAGACCGGGCTTTAACTACTAGGCCTTGTAATTTATGCGAAATGTTTATCTTCTACCACAAAGCTTTTGCATCTACTATCACACCATGCGTAGCAAAATTACTGGTTATAGTGTCTACCGCTTCATGCGGTACTTTCAAAACTCGTGGGTGTTTTGGTACACGTCGACTCGGTATAGTGTCGCAATGGTTTCTCCATCGAAAACCGACATTGATACCATTCTCTCATCCCTTCTCTCAAAGCCTGAGAATAAGGTAAGCATATTTGTCTTCTTATCCACCTAGATATGCTTTGACTGCTCTTCGGGTAACCCAACTTGGGCCAGTATCACCTACGGCGTTTTTGTCTGCATTGGCTGCTCTGCAGTACACAGATCGTTGGGAGTTCACCTAAGCTTTATCCGTTCAACACAATTAGATACAAATTGGACGTGGCTCCAACTGAGGGCTATGCAAGTTGGTGGAAACGGAAAAGCGGTACAGGTTTATTTTCCTTTGATGTCTTTTCGCAGATTGCCTTTTTCCAACAGCATGGTGGTATGCTTGATGATATTAAGCGGAAATACAGCAGCAGAGCGGCGCAGTTATATAGAAATAAGATTGAAACTCTGGCAAACGATGCTATGCGCACATATGGAACACAAGTAAGATTTATTGACATCCAATTATGAGTATTTTAGCTTGTTATTGAGATGGAAGATAAATTAATTGTTCGGGAGAAAGGGCTTGGTTTTTCCGCAGAAGACAATAAGCCTCCACTGGAAAACTTCTCCGAAATGAGCCTTTCTGGTTCTGCCCTCTTGAAGGAGACTCCTGTTAATCTGATTGGTGAGAAATTTGTAGTTTACACTTGTTGTCTAAGTATACCTTGTGATAGGCCTCTTTAGGAGTAACTTGAAACTGGATTTCGTTGCGATTGTGCTGCTGTAAGTGTACTAAATGCGGGTTGCATGAATTCTCTTTGTGGTCACTGTTAAACGAACATGGGGGTTCGTCACAGGTTTGTTGTATTTTGTGTTAATTTGCCGTTACGCGGTGACGGAATTTCATTCATACATCCCCCAACCGCAGTTACTTATAAACGCCTCTTTGTAGATCCCACTTCCGATGGCGGGGCAAATTTGTCTTCCGGAACTGGTAATCAGGCAGTGATGACGAAACCCAAAAAGGGGAGCGTAAGTTCTACCACCGTCTTGACTTGTTTTCGTATGACCACGTGACTATTTCAAGGATCCTCTGACTTATTAATGAGGGAGTGCAGCTCCTGAATTGCTTTTATAACTTTTGAGTTAGGAGAGGCTTTGCTCACTTCTGTTAAAAATGCACTTATAGGTGTGTTTGTTTTCCGTTCGTCTCTAAACTTTTGATATTTTGTTAGTAGTTTGGTATTTGGGAGCAAGAGTTAACGAATATGTTTACTGCAGCTTCTTCCTCTCACGCCTTGTTAGATTCCAATTTTTACTTATTTGGCACGATTAAGGCTAGTGAGCGGGTGCACCATTTTACAGTGCATTATTTGCCTGCTTTCACATTTGTATCAGTCCTTCGGTGAAACTTCCTTGATTTTTACGTTAATTTTCAACAAATTCATCATTTCTATTCGTTTGTTGGTTCACTCAAGGAATCTGCGCATTTGAAAATTTGTTAATAAAATTACGTGGGTTGGGACAAGCGCCTATCTACAAATTTGCCGAATCGAACCTGGATGGCACTGGAAACCTATTTAAAATCGTCTGCCCCTTGCAACAATCAACGCCTAAATTTATTATCCTTTTTAGGAGGACCTAATTTTATGTGACTTTTGTCGTCTAAAGCAAACAGTCTATAGGTGTGTTGATTTCTATCACACGTTTATGCTTTAGCCGTATGTATCGCATGAAATTATGCAATGCCAGTGCAATAGTCGCCCAGAAAATGTAAGAATATTACAAAATCATGAGGGTGGGGGATTGTCTCACTTTACACATCTCTGATAGATCTGCTTTCCTGTACTAATCTCGAATTTATTTAGTGTCTGCTTCTCAGTTTTATAATCCGAGAATTTCCTTGAACACAATGTGTCCCGAAATAACTTCACTGCAATTAATGTGTTTTCATAAGGCTTTGGTTCGTAAAATCTTCCAAGGGCGTTGAAATGTGAGTTTGCGTTTTGCAAATCGCTACAGTTATAAGCAGCTTGAAACAGGCTACCCCGATGGCTGTACTAGGTTTGCTGGTCGCCCAACTGGATGCAATTTTTGTCTTTTTTATGGTTTTGTATCATATGGCTTGACATTTACCTGAATGAGAGGCATGTGGTAGGTAAGGTATTGCAAAAAAACGACTAACAAACATTATCTACTCTTTTTATTAAAGTAAATGGAACAAATGACTTAGTTTAAACATTTTCACATAATTCCACTTACAGCTGAACTTTTTGCCACCATTTGCTTACTTTCATGTTGGGATGACAATTCAATGCAGGTTAGCCTCAAGATTCTGTTTGGAGTACCCTTAGCTGGCAATATAAGGCATGCTAACTCTTGCTGAGTTTCCTTTTTTGTCGAAAGGAAAAAAAGCGCCACCATATGGGCGCCTTGCAGACAATTGATTGTGAATTTTTTGAAGAACTAGGTCGTATTTTTCTCCGTATTCCTTAGCAGCCCGTCTTAACGTGCCAGATTTGACTTTTGTGTGGAACTTGACGTAATTGCTTTTAATGCTGCTTGTCAACATCACTTGGCTCTCCTGTCTATCGTTTCGCTGAGGCAAACCACAAAAACCTGTGACTTATTCTCGTTCCAGTAAGCCAAAAAGAATTGCAAGTAATAACTTCAGTCGTTTATTTAGGATGTATTTTGATGCAGTTCAAACAGCAAATATCCTTTTAAAGGAGTGGCAAATATTATCAAACCCTCTTTTAAACGTAGTTTTCTTGAACATTTTGTTCCGGTCATTGAGGCACTACTCTTAGAAACTCATCCTGTGTTTCAATTGCTTTGATTAATGATTGTAGCCGTTATGGGCGGGCTGAAAACCAGCTTGCCAGCCCTCAAACAGCCCACTTAATTCACTCATTTTCACCGATGTCACTGCGAAGAGTTCCACCCGTAACTGCTTCATTTCGACGAGGCGTTGCACTGCCATGTAGATGTTGAAGCAGTGATCGGGGTGGCTGTCGAATGTGGCTTGGCTGAAATCCCCAGGACCAGAAGAGATGAATTCGCGGTATCGGTGGGTTGGGAGGGGATTAAAGGTGAGGCGAAATCGGTGGTTGGTGACAGGAGGAATTGGGTGGGGTTGAGCAGTGTGGTGTCCGCTGTGGAAGACTTATTGTTTCCAAAGTGGATGTGACTAACATCTGCCACATGACAGGAAAGGTGGATGTGGAATTGTTGGTGGCGTGAGGGTAGTTGGTGGCTCCTTCGAGGCAAGGGTCCCTAAAGTGGTATGGTGTCTAA